AACAAAAAAATATATATAAGTATACTTTGTGTAACGTGTAATAATAATCAATGTCAGATATCGTAATAATTATTTTTTTGATTAATTAAAAAAATTGTTATCACATTGCAATTTTTTTTTCTACAAAGAACTACAAAGAATATTTTAATGAATTGAAAAGTTGTTTTAAATTTTCTAGTTACAGTTTTATTTTTTCTATTATAATAATAAGTGTGAAAGAGTGTTAAATTGACATTTAGAGGATTTTAATACTTCATAACTTGGTACTTCATAGGTTTAATCTGCGTAGGTATGGATAATCTTATATCATAGGTCAATTTATTTTTTCTTCGTACATACAAATTCCGATTAAAATTCATTATTATATAATATTACTTAATATAATCTTCAGAAAGGTTATCTAGAAAGAAAAGGTCAATATTATACGAGAGATTGACAATCATGCTGGTGTAAATCAGTCCACTGCTAATTTTTTACAAGATAGTATTCTAGAAACTTATTATAAATAGTTTTATTTTCTGTGATACTTTCTTATGATTTGAAAAAGTATCTACTGAAATATAATAGAAAAATGCAATAATTTATGTATTTTTCAATTTTTATTAAAATTTTAGAATCAAAATAAAAATTTGTTTTATTTACTATAGGAAATTTTTTTTATATTATTATTAATTACAGCAAATTTAAGTAGACTGTGAGTTTTTATGCATGGAAAATTGTAAACTAAAGTTGCAAAACTGTAGATAATCCATATAATGCTTAAAAATATATAAAATACCTAAAATAGAGTATTTATTACAATATATAGTAGATAAAACAAATTTTTATTTAGGTTTTAATTGTTTAGTTTCTACAAATTTAAAACTGCATGAAAATGCAAAATCTGCAGTCTACTTATATCTTTTTAAGTCAGATCACAGCAGGAAATAAAATTAACTGAATATTCATTAAAATTACCAAAAATTTAAAATTTTAATATGAAACAAATTAAAAATGCATTCATCTTTGAATACGTATCTTTTGATATATTTATTCAATATATTACATGTAGTATATATAAATGTCAATATATAAAGTCATCCTTTTTTGAATTTCTAATTAATGAATTAATTATTTTAAATAAACAAAGAGTTAATTACGAAACTAAGAGATGGCATATAAAAATTGAAACACACGACAATCCAAATTTTTAATTTAAATTTCTAATTTAAATTTTATTTAGGAATTTTTGTACTTAGTAATTTTTCATCCGCTATATGAATATGTATTCGTTTAGAATCACATTGATCAATTCCTTCATAAATTCATAAATAGGAAAAAAATTAAAATATTACAAACGCTATTTTTTAAATTTACTCTGGAATTTGTAATTATTTATGTCAGCTTTTCAATAAATCAACTTAAATAAATCAACTCGTGGAAATAAGTTATTTCTTGAGAGTTGAAATCGTGTTGAAAGATTGATAAAATGTAGAGTTAATCAGTTTAAGTTTCTGAGAAAAGCTTCTGAGAATGATTTTTATAATCATTCAATATTATTCACTTAAATGGTTACTTGAGGCTATTCGTTTAGTATCGTATTAATATTTTTTTATATTTCTTGCATAATAACTATAACGATAAATAATGATAATCCAATTTTTTTAAAATATAATGAACTATATTAAAACATAAAAAAGTATATTAGTAAATGTTGCTATTTTGTAATCTTCTATTCGAAGATTTGTACAAGCAGATAAGATATAATTTTTTTGACAGAATATTATTTAATTATAAGATTATAGATAAAAGGATCTGTGATGATTTTTTTTTTTTGTGAGGATTACAACTGGCATAATAGAATATCATGACGCAATAAAATTGATTTTTAAGCAGCAATAGTGATTTATATAATATGTAGTAGACAATTATATATTTTCGTTGCTTTTTTTTTTAAACTTCAAGTTGTTCAATTTCTAAACAGTTAAATAAAAAAGACTTCAATCAAAGCATCAATACATTTAATTATAATGATTTACTGGTAGACTTTTCAATGGATAATTTATAATCTATTGATTTCATAAGAAAATATATATACATAGTGCTACATCATTAAATTGACATTTTTCAAAAGCAACATTGAACTGTCACATATATCTGCTATTATAAATGAACCATAGCGTCTAGATATTTATGAGCACAGTATAACGAAAATGCGTAGTTGCAAATTTTTTTTAAAACTTTTAAACTTTGCCTGATATACGAGGTCATTCCATAATCAATATAGTGTTTGCAATATGTAATTTTAGAATGTTAAGCAATGATAAATTCAATAATAATGTATAATAAATGAAACAAACATCTTTATTTCTTTAATTATATATTTAAAAATTTAAAAACGTCTAAAAAGTCTACAAATGACAAATGGTTGCTGAATACCTAATGAAAACCTCATAAAAAGATTGTCGTTATTAACGCATGAATAGCAGATCGTAAACAGCCATATAAAAATTTTCATTATATTTAAAGTAAAGAATTCCTCAAGGTGAAACGATGAATTGGGACAGGTCATTTTCGCCTTAATGATGACAATCACGAGGATTGGATTGTGACCCAGATTAAAATTATTTTTAACTAACTCATTTGATGACAGAAAAAATATGGTTTATCACGTTATTGATTTTGAGTGTTTTTTTGTGCTGCAAAATTTTTATGAAATCGGTTTTCTTCCAGTTGATGAATAATACTGGTCTCATGGTGGAGTTCTTTGATTGTGATTGAAGAATATTGAATCGTATTTAGAGATAGGAAAGGTACTATGATGGGAAATTGTAACAAGATTGGTAAGTAGGACAACAGTTTTCTTGGAACCTTTGAGGTACTTACTATCACGGGCTGTGTTATTATTGAAGAAAAGTGAGATGGCCAAGTGATCGTGAACTATCTTGTTCACTTTGAACGCTTGTATTTAGTTACTTGGAGTTATAATGTATATTATTATTACATGTATTATAATAATAATTAATAAGTACTATAATATTAATATTATTAATATTATAGTAATAATATATAGTAAATATATTATTATAATATATAGTAAAATTAGTACTATAATATTAATATTATTATATTAATATAATAATATAATATAATATTATAATATAATCAGTATATACGTCGATGAATTATGATGAATTTTACAACATACTTGATAGTTTTTGAACAAATAGTTTGTTACTTGTTGATTTTGTAGATGACAAGCAGGTATTGCTTTTAATCATCAGTTTCTCATTAATTTATAATTTTCATAATTTACAGTTTTCTTGGAATAATATACAAATTAAAAATTGTTTAGGCGAAATAAATATTCTTCAATCTTTCACAAATGCACAAGTAACTTTCATAACACTTTGTTCAAATTTCATTACTTTTATTAAAATTCTTCTTATTACCACGATCGATGATAAATTTCTTCTTCTTTAAGTATTGACAATTGATGTTGAGGGGAAAACTCAACGAGTCAATGACCCGCCAAATTCAAATTTCAAAGTATAAACTCGATCAAAACATGAATGATCATCGTCTTATTCGTATCGATAGTTTATTACAATTTCTCAACCGGTGGTATAATTTCACAAACGTACGTCAATAACCTAGAGAAAGCAGGCTTGGATATGTTTTATTTGAAACGAAAAGAAAAAAAATATAGTAATTTGAAATAATTAAACCATTACGACAAATGACTAATCTAGCTAAATATGCATTCATCTATTTCCCCTATCGCGGACGTATACACCCTTCTTTTCCAGTAACCTAGATTTTAAAATGAGCAGTATAAATGTTTAGGCTGGAGTGGTTAGTCGCGATAGAGATAATACCGGAGAAAACGTAACGGAAGGTTACGTCGACGGAAATGGAACGTATAGACGCACTATTATACATGTATAGAGTACGGATATATTATGTACGTAATACTGGTCGGAACAATGTGGTTGCTTGGCTGAGTGGCGCGACTTGGCGTGTGGCGCGACATGATGGTGGTGGTAGTGGTGGGGGTAGCGTGGCAGTGGTATAGGAAGGGGTAGCTCGCGAACGGCCTTCACGGTCGGTCGTTCAGTAGTCGCACGACCATCGAGCTAGTAGGAAGTTCGTGCTGGTATGCACTGCGTGCAACGTAGATCGTTTCCGGTTCACCGCCAAGAAATATCAGACTCGTGTTGGACGACCGCATGATCCCTCCCAGGCGTTAGGATAGCCTTTCATGACCTCGCCACGAGAATTACCGAGGCCAGGCTATGTGAGTTAACGTATCGATTGACAGAAATTTCACATTCGCGAACTCCCTCTGCGTTTATTGTGCCGTGACATCTTCGCCACCGCCTGCGAACGCGAAATGTTGGAAATGTTTCGATGAATAACGGGGAAGGCAACGGGAAGGGGAGTAAGACCGACTCCGACGGACTTGTCGTCTCCTCCTGGTCATACGTTCGTGTTTTTTTTTTTTACCTCCACGCTAGCCTTTCCATTCTATGGAATCGACGAACCGTCGAACGAATTCTCGACAAGCACGTATACACACACGCGTAATTCGACGAGGATGCTCTTAGATAGCTGCGGACATTTCTCTAAATATTCGCCACCGCGAGAGGAGATACAATGGTACACAGTTGGTGAAGATATACAAAAAAAGTTACCTCTGGCTCTAGATCTCGCGTGATAGACGTCGTTACGGAAATTTCGTTCCTCTGTTTGTTGATCATTGACACATTTCCTTTTCTCTCATCTTTCTTCGTTTAAGTCGCGATAGTTTTTTTTCTCTTTTTTTTTTTCATTGTTTTCACTGTAAAAATCGTTTGCAGCGATCGTAGCAACATATGGATATGTAGCAGTTGCTTCATATTCACACTGTCTTCTCTCGTCGTTTGATATCGTCAAGTAGATTTATCTTCTGTTTCCAATTGTTAATAGTCGAACTGTTTATGCGTTAGCTTCGAACGAGTTCACTCTGATGCAGATCTGCGCGTATTGCGACTTACAGATATTGTAAACATTATGAATATAATTACATACTTGCTTACGTTTCTAACAGTAAAATTAATTTAAAAAAAGATTCCCGATTGAAGTTGAATGTATTATTAACATTAATACGAGAAAATGCTAACAAATGGTATCTTTATCGGATTGCTACTTGTTCAATAACAGAAAAAAAAGAAATGAAACTCATAAATGTCTTCGATATCGTGCTAAATTATAAATATTAAGATTGAGAGACTCGGTAGAGAAAAGGCATATGCTATTAATAATATATCGCGCAGTTTTTCGATATATTTCTGAATATCTCCACCACATAATTCATCCATTCCTTAAATTAAATTTCTTTTAAACCTTTCTCAACGTAAAAATTCAAGTAACATTTTAACATAAAAATATAAAAATCTTCTATCGTAGTATAAAAACAAGCATTTTAAAAACGAATATTTATTTGTCTGTAGGTCTGAAATTTTTTAATATTGAAAATAAACATACATTGAAGCTAAACGTAGTATTGAAAATAAAATAAAATAAATATTTAGTGGAAAAAGAATCTATGTAAGTATGTAAGTATGAGAAGACCTGATGATATGAGAGACATGACAATCGATCTAGCTCATTAAGTAAATGGTTATATTAATATTAAAAGCAAATAGCGCCAATGTATGAAAACTATTTCGAAGAATTTTTATTTTAATTTATATTTTCGTGAATACAAATTGGATTCTTTATCGCGAGGAGCGATTTATTTTCCACTTCAATGTTAGTTCACTTTGGAAATTTTCTTTATTCTTGTACGTTAGATACACTTTTCGTTTAAAAGTTTGGAACACCAAATTATTTTTCGGGCGAAGTAAATTTGTTCTGTGCAAGCTTTTCTGACAGTAGAAAAAGATAATTGAAAGAAAAAATGAAAAAATAACCTTACTTTTTATATATCGCCAGCGTCATCGGTTTTGTCGCGCCATTCCAATTTCACTGTCACCCAGATGAATGTTCATATCTGTCTATTTAGGATGCGAATGTGTTATATTTGTAAATCGATCAATAACTTTGTAAATCAGTACGAATTTCTTACAACGGGTGTTTCTCAGTTTCTTGTAGCAATGGTGGCCACCATTATCGAAATAAATATCATATACAATGTATCATTGAAATCTATGCGTGCCTACATAACCTATATTCGCCGTATCTGATGTATCAAATCATTTATAACTTGTAATTGATCGTAATGATATATAAAAAAAAAAAAAATCAGAAATTGATCAAAAATTAGTGCGTAGATAAAATATTAATATATTAATTATATAAAATCTTTAATTAGTCATTGACCATGGATTATTCTGCGTTTGGTAATACGAAGCCGAATATTTTAGGTTGCCATAATACAGGTGGATTAAATAATTGAGTTTCGATAATAAACGTCGTTTCGAATTTATATTAATTATCAACTAAAAATCAACCAACATCGAATTTAATGTAAATTTCTGTAAAAT